ATAAATCAATGGATAGATGCAAGGACGAATGTTTTGCTGTTTGACAACGAGGAACAAATAATGGAGGAATTAAAAGAATAGTTAATAAAGCGTCAGATTAGGATAGTGGCCTAGCTTGTTTGGATATACGAATTGCTAAAGAAATAACGAAGCTACGTAATAATGTCTATAGAAAAAAAAGATTTGATTATAGTTGAGGCAAGATTAAGTAAAAAGTTCAGTTCAACCTGGAATATAAAGCACTTATGATATATTCTGTAATAAAATTAAAAGATCCTGGACAGAATGCCTAATACAAATGAATATAAGCAAGTAGTAATAATCTACATCAAAACGACTTCTTAACTTCACATAAAAGCTTATATGAAGCTTAAGATTTACTTCGATCCTCCGGAACGAGCCAGAGCGCAAAAGGACGGCCGTTCTACTCGAATTACGAAGCTGATGGGTGTGCAGCAGTTGAAAGTGTGCCCCCGACTGCGAGAAGGCCGAGGCTCCAGGAAAAGATATCACTGGCTTCCTGAGCGAATGTGATCTGGGCACCATGCTGAGTCGAGGAGTCATCGTCATAGCTATAGCTGCCGCCATCTCGCCAAGCACCGGTGCCTCTGCCGTAGGCGTAGGATGAATAGCGGAAGCTGCGCCGGGTTGTCGAGTGGCAAATGGCCGGAGGCGAGCTGGGCCCTGAACACTATGGCTGCTCTCCCAATCAGCCCACCATTTTTTCAGATCATCGATCTGACTCTGTCGTCTATTATAGAAAGCCATAGCAGATGCTGAGGAAGATGCCGACGAACGGCTAGGAAGGCCAAGTGAGGCCTGACAGGCAGGGACTTGAACAGCACTGGTTGCTATCGTTGGGGCAGCAACAGACGCTTGATGGAACGTAAAACTCGGGCCGGGCGTTGAATGCAGGCACAGAGGCAGCTGGTGATAGATCATGTCGGCACGACGGTAAGCGTGAGGCAAAGATGCAAGAACTTGAGCACGGCAGTGCTAAAACAAAGTTTAATAGTTCAAATTATCAATATAAAAATTTGTCTATAACTAAGGGTCAATAAAACAGATGCAAGATCTAGCTTTGCCATAATGGAATAAATCACCTGAGAGCTGCTTCTTCTGACTATCCGAGTATGAGGTCTAGATTCCAAAAGATCTATGTCTCTAAGTGAGGGAACAAATGCAGCTAATTTATTCCGATTACCATCAAAGGTTGAAGTTGATGCTTCATTTATGTTTGGAAGGCAGTTTACATCCAGGCGCAATTGTTCAATGATGGCCTGACAATGCGAAAAATCTGGGTTTCCAAGGGGAATAGAAGAAGTCAGGGATAAGGCAGGGACAGGCGCCAAAAAAGTAGAGCTTCTATCAGAGTATGATATGTTAAAATTTATGGGCAAGTAATGTGAAGATCGACCTTGTACACCTGAAAATAAGTTAAA